ATACAGAGAGTCCAGCAGACTATGTGGCAGTGGACCAAGTGCTGACGTTTGCTGCCTGTGAGAGCCAGCGTTGTGTGAATGTGAGTCTGGCCAATGACCTGGTCAGTGAACCGGAGGAGACCTTCTCTCTCAGTCTCACACGGTCCACCAGATCGCACATCTCCTTCACCTCCGCCACTGGAGTGGTGGTTATCACCGACGACGATGGTAAGAAATACGGTATAGCATAACAACATTCTTGTCTTTGTTTTTCCTTTTGCTCTCTTTTTTCCTCCCTTACCACTTCTTTCTGTCTTTTTTAAACTTCCCCTTGTGTTTTGCTGTCATTGTCTTGATATTCTAATGTGTTGTTTTTGTGTGATTAATAAGTCTGAGGGGGAATAAAATTAATTGTGATGTGTATGAATGTGTTATGTAAGCAAGCTAATATTATTGTAACCCCCACAGATAGGCCAGCTGAGGTCAGTTTCCTCCCAGTGAACGGCACAGGAGTGAGGATCTCCTGGAGTGGCAGTGTCCACCTCCCCACCTCCATCCACTACACTGTCTCCCTCTCCACCACCGACATCATCATTAGCCAATACGACAGGGTCTACCCACGAGGAACCACCTCCGATGTTTTTGTTTTGGATGATGACATCACTCTTACCAATGCATATGTGCATAACTTCACTTTGTATTACATCATAGGAAATGATGTCACGTTTGTCCGAGGACCTCCAACCAATGTACCCTTTGCTTTTGGTATGCATCAACGTACCTTGCCACTTTTTAAACTGCTTGTGTTTCACAGATAAAACATCTTTTCAAATTCAGTTTGGACCTTTTCAATACTGCATGGACTGGGGAGTAAGCTGTATCTTTACTTTCGTCACTAATGCACAATGTTAATTTTTTTGCAGTTGAAGAAAATCGCTCGTATTATTGAGAAAGAGCTCCAGGCTTACTTAATTCAGATAATTCGTGAAGCTTGCAGTGACTGCTACAAATTAACCCCTTCTTTCCTGAGACCAGGACTGTTTCTCTGTCACAGTAACCCCACCAAGACCACCTACCGCTCCACCCTCGTTAACCCTTTCCCCACCACAAACTCTACCCACCTGGTGGGCATTATTCAGAGTTGGGTGTCCACGGGTCCGTCCCTCATTCTAGATGGTCTGCTGGTGAGGGTGAGTCCCTCCTGCCCCACCTCTATCTCCAGTCTCGATGAAGAAGAGTGTGAGACTGGTACCACAAATGACCCACAACTAGGGGACAGGATTACTCAGACTCTCAATTTTTGCGCCGTCAGAAATCTTGGAGAGCAAGTCTGCAGGCTTGGTGGTTGCTAATAGACATGGAAAACAACAGCTAGTAATCTTGACCCTAATTGCTGTGGCATCTGACTAAAGTAATTCAGCGTGTTTATTTTTTGTGTAGGTGTGTCTAGTTAGAAAATACAGTCTTCTCCATTAGTACATTGCATGTGTTCATTAGTTTCATTAAAATACTAGCGAAGAGAAAGAGACATGGAAAGTCTTGTTGCAGAGTTTGTGACTGACATGGCTACACATACTTTAGACAGTACTGTGCCAAAAGAGCGGCAGACCGAAAAAAAGACCATGCTGCAAGTGACAAGTGGAACTATCATTTCTTCAAAATGAAGGGGATGGGGATGGCTCAAAAAAGGAAGAAACAAGGGGTTGTAACACAGCAAAGACACACAAAGCTACATGATACTTTCCCTTATTTTTTGTCCAGTGTATTTTCCTGTGAATCAAACGAACAAAGATTAGGGGATAGTGTCATGTAGCTTGGTGTGTGCTTCCATGACCCTAGTTCCTTTCTATCCCTATCCCTGTTCTATAACATTACAGCATTTACTTACTAACTTACTATGGTCACTCAGATGTGTTAAATGCTCGAGTAAATACCCTAAATACTGAGCTTCAGAGGCTCTTACTCTCTGCATTTAAAAATGAGTTTTGTTATAATTATTTAAAAAGCCAATCGAGATTGCCTTTGTTCTGGACTTGAAGACCCAAGATGTTCAGGATAAAAGACCCTTTGTTTTGAGCTCTTCAAGTTTGCAGAAAAGGGTGCAAAATGTGACATTCTGAGCCTTGAAGAATGCAAGCAGGTTAATGGTGCACGGCTACAAATCAATCCCGAAATGGTTGAGGCTGCTTTAATCCTCTTTCATCACCAGAACACCAGGACCGCTCCCTTATATAGAACCCCCATATTGCAATATCTAAGAATAGATGACACACAAAGTCAAAAGCTTGTGAGATACTAGTACTCAGGACCGCCACCTCTGCGAGCAATTGATATCTAGAGCACCATGGGAAAATTCACAACTATACTTGATAGCTACTACATACACAGGACGGCTCCCTCTACCCTCTGTGTGCCACTTGACTTACAGCTAGTCTTGATAACAGCCACCAAATGAGATATATATCAGGCAGTTGGATACTACTAAATGATTCTTATACTTGTGCACTTTGAGCTACTCTTTTTGTAGCCAACAAAAGTAGGGTAGCCCGCTAGCTGGTGTTAATAACAGTAGTATAGTAGTCTTGATCTGCAAGGCAGCACAAGTGGTTCTCTTTACTTCAAAGAGCAACTCCCATGAGGTGGTTGTATTTGTATGCAACCACAATAATAGTCACTGGAAGATAGCAGACCTAAGCAGGAGACCATTGTTATGTGGTACATAAAAGCTGCCTCATCAGCTATGAATGTAGCTACAAGACACTTACATTGTAGTGGGCTACAAAATAAGGAAGATCCCACTCTCTGGTGTACAATTGAGTGCACTAATATGAACTGCTCTCTTTGTATGAAGTGATATATAGTATATAAATCATTTAGCTGTTCTTGTAGAAGGCAGCTACACAAGAATAGGAAACACGAAACGTGAATTGTGTCTCTTGGCCTCCATAACTTCCTGGTTGTGTGATACTCTTGTGTGTGCAGCAATAAAAGGGCTTTTGTCGGCGTTGAAGTGCAGAGTTGTTGCCCTGTTACGCAACTTTCTCTGAGCAGAAATGTCATGTGGTAGCTGCAGCCGTGGAACTTCTCCTTTTGCAAGGAGGTATAAGTTTCAGTGCAATGTTATCGCATAGCTTATGCCAGCTGAATTTTGTAGCTGAAGGCGTAGGTAGGCCAATACCTAAACCATTCGTTCATGTGTCAGTGTGTCTGTCGCCGATCGCGTCTGTGTGTCACAGGACGGTGCCTGTATCCTCATTATTTTACTAGACTGCGCAGTGGCACCATCACAGAGTGGTATAGTACATCGAAAGTGTTGCTCCTTGATCAGTAAGGCAGCACAAGCGTGTTTCTCTTTACTCTTGCAAAGAGCAACTCGCCAATGAGTGCAGTATGAGGTGGTTGTAACCACAATAGTCACCAGTTGGTTGGATATTGCAGACCTAAGCAGGAGACCATTGTTACGTGGTATATAAAAGCTGCCTCATCAGCTATGAATGTAGGTACAAGACACTTATATTGTAGTGGGCTACAAAATAAAGACAATCCCACTCTCTGATGTACAATTGAGTGCACTAATACGAACTGCTCTCTTTGTAGCTCTCTTTGTGTGCCACTTGCAGCTAGTCTTTTTTAACAGACACTAAACAAGATATCAGGCAGTGGCATGCTGCTTATACTTGTTCACTTTGTGCTACTCTTTTCAGTAGGGTAGCCAGCTAGCTTGTGCACTTCAGTTCTCCGATTATAACGGTGGTATAGTACATCGAAAGTGTTGCTCCTTGATCAGTAAGGCAGCACAAGCGTGTTTCTCTTTACTCTTGCAAAGAGCAACTCGCCAATGAGTGCACTATGAGGTGGTTGTAACCACAATAGTCACCAGTTGGTTGGATATTGCAGACCTAAGCAGGAGACCACTATTATGTGGTACATAAAACCTGCCTCGTCAGCTATGAATTCAGCTACAAGACGCTACATTGTAGTGGGCTACAAAATACGGAATATCCCACTCTCTGATGTACAATTGAGTGCACCAATATGAACTGCTCTCTTTGTATGAAGTGATAGCATTTAGCTGTTCTTTTAGAAGGTGGCTACACAAGAATAGGAAACATGCAATGCTAATTACAACTCTCTCGGCCTCCATACCTTCCTGGTTGTGTGATACTCTTGTGTGTGCAGCAATGAAAGAGCTTTTGTCGGCATTGCATGCAGAGTTGTTGCCCTGTAACGCAACTTTCGCCGAGAGATGTTGCAGAAATTTCTTGTGGTAGCTGCAGCCGTGAGACTCCTCCTCACGCAAGGAGGTAACTTTCACTGCAAATGTTCTCGCGTATCTATGTAGCTTATGCCAGCTGAAGTTTTTTTTATGAAATGAAGGCGTAGCTACGCCAATACGTATTACCTACAAACCAATTTCTTGTGCAGTTGCTATGCTCTTACTCTCTCTATTCGTGTTTTTCAAAACCTGTCTCCCTTACAGGGAACTGCCAGTGCTACACGGAAACAGTCTGCACTGGAGATAGAATAGACGTAACAGAAGCAGGGCTACCAATAGCAGATCAAACAGACTGCTGTGTTGGTACTAACACAGGTCTCTCATACAACGATGGCTCCTCCTGCAATCTCTGTATAGGTATGTCAGTTAGGTGCTTGCAACAACTGCATTGACTGACCACTCTGTTCCTTTGTTCAGTTCATGAGTTTGCTCAAGCTGCATATGATTTGGACGAGGATGAGCGGTTGGACACCATGTTCCAACTCAATGTGAAGGGAATGACACAGTTTAGTGGTGGTGCTCTTCTTGTCACTGGACTCATCACCGCCACAGCAGATGGCACTGCAGGTAAGCTGTACACCCAAACAATAAGGTTTGTAGCATCTTCACCACACAAACATTTGTCTCCCCATAGTTGATTCTGACTTTGAACGGTTAACACCAATCCAAGTCACAAAAAATGCCGAGATCAGACTCTTTGCTGCCAATGATGAGATTGCTCTGGAATACGATGATAGGGTCCTACTGACGTTTGCTCCCGACAATCCTGCTCTGATTACCGACCTACCTGCCAATGGAGAGTATGTAAGGGATTCCGCGACAGTGAACATCGTAGACAGTGATTGTAAGTTAATTAATCAACGAGTGACGTGTGCCAAGTCTGTATGAATTTTTTCCCATTCAGTGTTGGAGATAAATTTTTTGGAGTCTGACTATTCAATTCTAGAAGGATCCACAGAGCTCAGTGCTCCGATCATGATTCAGTTGAGACAAAATCAGAACGCATTCACACTCATGTTGAGTCCAGTCACTATTGATACTGCTGAGAGCAAGAACTTGAGTTTCTTCATTAATTCACAAACCATTCTACCTGGGTCCAGAGCAACAGCAGGTATAGTTAATGTGCCACACATAACAGTAGCCTTTAAAGGAAATGCAGCCTGACTTTGAGATCCCATAGTCAATGCTATAGAGTTTACAGGGGAACAAGGGGATGGAGTATATACTGGGGCTCTGAAGTAGAATATACAGTGTTTGCAGCAAAAATTGTTTGCGCTGGCACCATTGCGGTGAAAAAAGAGCAATAACTATAAGTACATTGATTATGCAAGTGTATCTGGAGAACTGCAGGGAGTAAGGCAGCAAACCACTAATAGTATGTGTATTTTTGGCATCGTTTAGTGTTCTGTGTGCGTGGTCGATGACTGTAGTACAATGGCTGCTATAGCATATGTGTATTTATTGCGGTATCTATCTGCAAAATTGTGAGTAATGTAACTCTCTGTCTTATATTATCAGTTGCTGATGCCGAAGCAGCAAAAAACATTTTCGCTGGCAACTTACTCACAAAACAATAAGTGTTAGGATATACACTGCATGGGGAGGTCAGTGGCTGTAGAATGTTGCATAACGTGTATTTATTGTGGTATCTATCTGCAAATATTGAATAATATCACTCTTTGTCTTCTCTATCAGTTGCCGATTTCAGTGACAGTGTAACCACGATTACAGTTCCAGCCAACAGCAACCCATCGTACGAAATAATACAGTTTTTCACAATCAATGACGACAATATTGATGAGGGATGAGCAGAGTTTTGCAATAGTTGCTGAGATAGGACCTGACGTTCCCGAGAATATCAGCTGCTTCCAGATTGGAGTTGGATCAGATGTTTGCTTTGGACGACGTGGAGCCACCGAAATTAGAATCACCGACAATGATCGTATGTTCATCTCTAATCGTCAATTGTCTTGTTATAAGCTTCTCTCTCTGTCTGCTAGCTATGATCATTGGGTTCACCCAACGCATTCGAACAGTATCGGAAGGTCAAGTTCCTGGAATGGATATGTTCCAGCTGGAGATCAATGTTGAGAGCGTAAGGACAGCTGAAAAAGAGCATCCAATGCTGTTCCGTCTCCAGGAAACTAGTACTAATGCTACTGTCGAGACACTGACACCAGCTAGTCCCCTGTTTGATGCTACATTTGGACTAAGGGAAAACCCCGATGATCCTATTGAGGAAACCCGTGATCTGGACCAGGGAACACGTACAGTTTTACCATTGCTTACAACCATCAGAAATGACTTGATTCCAGAGAAACTAGAATGCTACACAATACGCATATTCTCTAGGGATGTTCCCGGTCGTCAGGCGCTGTTTGAATGCAATGACGACACTGAAATGGCAGATAACTACTTCTGTGTGCACACAATCTGCATCGAAGATGATGATGGTGAGAGTTTGGTTCGTTTTTCGTGCATGTTTTATCTCTTATTATGGAATTTGAGCAGAGCCATTTGAGGTTGCTTTTGTAAGAACAATGTACACTGTTGATGAGAGTGCGGGTCCCGTGTTGGTCTGTGTCAATCTCACTCGACCTGAAATTGACATTCTCGATGAAACTGTCAATGTGTTTGTCACCGACTTCACAACGTCCATGTACATCCCAGTTGGTGACGTCCCTTTTGCAAGTGAGACAACAAGCAAAAATCAAAGATCATTTCATAAATATTTTCACTTTCTCCCCAAGCCCCTGATATTCCTGACTTTCTCAGTCGGTATCTGATGGCAGAGAGATCTGATTTTCAACAGCAGACTGCTGCAATCAATTTATTAGACGATATCCTTATTAGTGAACTGATGAGAATAGTCTGCTACAACCAGACCATCTATGACGACCTACGTTTGGAGGCGAATGAATATGCAGGCCTTACGCTTGGAGTTGATGATAATTCGCAAATCAGAGTTCTTACTTTCGTAAAGGAACTGTTTGATCAAGCCTCTATTCTTATTGTGGACGATGACAGTGAGTTTAATGCAAAGTACCGTAAGAGAGAATTTGTAACCACTGGTTTTGTTCTGCAGGGGCTGTGGTTGGCCTGGAGCAGACATTTTTCAGTGTATCAGAAGATGTTGCTTATGTTGAACTCTGTGCCATCGTTTTATTCCCAGATATTACCTGTCCTATTGAATTCCCTTTTGAAATTGGGGTTTTGACTGCTGATGGGACTGCAGGTATACAATACAGTTTGTTCATTCTTTTGTAGCACAAGTAGCAGTCAATGTCATGTAATTTCCACAGTGGAAACCATGGACTATGGAGCAATTGATGAGACTCTCATGTTTGATGCCTGTGAGACGAGGAAGTGTGTGAATGTCACAATAACAGATGACCTGGTGGACGAACAGCAGGAGTTGTTTACCTACACCCTGACAAGGACACCTTCTCTAGATCCCAGGATTGAGCTAGATCCTATTGATGGAACAGTTGAGATCATCGATAGTGATGGTAAGTAATTAATGAATTTGATTAGACGTATAAAAATCTGAGTGTCTGAGGGGAGATATATTTTGATGTCTATGAATGTTTGGTACGGATAGCTTTCCTCACCAATGCTAATTATTATTATTGCCATCCCCACCAGTGGGGGTCAGTTTCCTCCCAGTGAATGCCACAGGAGTGAGGATCTCCTGGAATGGGAGTGTCCACCTCCCCACCTCCATCCACTACACCGTCTCTCTCTCCACCACCGGCATCATCATTAGCCAATACGACAGGGTCTACCCTCCTGGAATCACCTCAGATGTCGTGGTCTTGGAGGATGACATCACCCTTACAGACGAATATGTGCACAAATTCACCCTCCACTACATCTCTCAGAATGATGATGTCCCAGGAACTCCAACAATTGCCTTCTTCACTTTCGGTACGAAAATGTGGAGAGTGTTAATTACGGCTGTAGTATCGTAGTAATAGATACTATAGACGAGCGTTACGTCTCAAGACTCAGCAATTTGCATGAGTACTTAATATCTCATATGGAGAGTGGAATAGAATGATCTACAGTAAGATGGCTATATTTCGCATGGATATGACAGCTATATAGGCAGCGAGTAAAAATGTGCGCGTTCCCTATCACGAAAGCGACGCTGATACAAACGAGTCTCTGTCAGGAGTCTCACGGGCACGATGTTCTCTTTCCCACTCTCTTCGACGACGAAGGGCGTCTTCCCCGGACATGTATACGCACGGCAGGCAGCCTGTGAAATTGAAATCCTTCCGGATAAAAAGAAGCGTGTAATCCTGGAGCATGCGCAGTTGGACGACGTACGGTCGTCGCATTAGTAGGCGAATGCATGGCATTTTTGGCGAGCGGGAGCGAGCACACAATGACTGTATCTGCACGAGCCTATTTACAACTTGAACCTTAGAACCACGAAGATTGGAAAGAGGTATATACAGCCACGGTCAGGTATCGAAGAGTGCAGCAAATGCCAGCGAATAGATAGATTTCGCATCGATATGACAGCTAGGCAGCGTGTAATAAGGAATAAGCGCGTTCCCTATCACGCAAGCGACGCCGATACACACGAGCCTCTCTCTGCTCAGGAGTCTCACCGGCACGACGTTCTCTTCGACGACGGAGGGCATCTTCCCTGGACTGATCCATGATTGCGAGAGTACGGAGCTGCCCCCCACACACGTAGCTAGCTACATACGCACGGGTAGCATGTGAAAATTTAGAAATTAAAAAGAAGCGCGTAATCCTGGAGCATGCGCAGTTTGACGACGTACGGTCGTAGATATACAAGTAAATTAAAAATCCTGCGAATTTAAAAAAGAGGCATAATTATAGGGATGGTATAAAAAGAAAGGGAGACAAGATAGGGATGGGATACATGAAGCATGGTTTATGAACAGATTTGAGTACGCTGACACCCCCAACCCCATCACACAATCCCTATATTATTGCCTAGGTGAAGTATTAAACATTCACCTTTACAATACTCAGAACTTACAATACACTACTGAGTAACCAACACCCCTATAGAGTCCAAGTGGAGTTTAAAAGGGAATGTGGCAGTATAAATGTTACTAAAAGCAACAGGGACACGGTGAAAGAATGCTTGCTTTTAGTAACCTTTAGCCCCTACAAGAGTAGCACACCAGGCAACAATATAGGGATTGTGTGATGGGGTTGGGGGTGTCAGCGTACTCAAATCTGTTCATAAACCATGCTTCATGTATCCCATCCCTATCTTGTCTCCCTTTCTTTTTATACCATCCCTATAATTATGCCTCTTTTTTAAATTCGCAGGATTTTTTATTTACTTGTCTCCACTCATTTTTTATATACTACTACGTATTATCTCTGTGGAAGGGGGCAAGCCCCTATAAAAAATTTAATAGAGAAAAAATGCCTGTTGTCGTCACGGAAATGATATGCATACCATGTTTCATCTCCATGTGTGCTGCCGTTAGCAAGTTTGAGGAGTGAAGAAGTAATTTTAAAGAAAAGTGCCTGAGGCTATTTGTTGTTGTGGGTCGTCATGGAACGATGTTACACACATGCGTACCAAGTTTCATCTCCATGCATGGTACCGTTAGTGAGTTTGAGGAGTGAAGAAGTACAAGAAAAGGGCCTGAGGCCATTTGTTGCTGTGGTCGTCATAGAAACGATGTAATACACATGCGCACCAAGTTTCACCTCCATGCGTGTTAGTTTGAGGAGTGAAGAACTAATATTAAACAATATTGCCTGAGGTTTTATCACCCAATATGCGGTCGTCATGGAAACATGTAATCGTCACGGAAATGATATATAAGGCATACATACCAAGTTTCATCTCAATGTGTGCTAGCATTGAAAGTTGAGAAGTGAAGAAGTAACTTTAAAGACAAGTACCTGAGGCTATTTGTTGTTGTTTACAAACATGTGTTGTTGTGATTTTGATGTTGGTGATTGAATACATTATGTCTACAAAGTTTCCTTCACATAGCTCCTACCATTTGTGAGTTATACTGACACATGTGATCCCTTTATAATGTATTGCCTGGGGCTATTTGTTGTTGTTTACAGTAAACAATGTTGTTTACAAAGAAATAAGTATGACCAGTCTCTTCGGGTGACGGATATCTACATTCTTACAAAATTTCATTGCTAAAATTATGTTGTTTCGTTTTTGAGTTATGGTGTTGAATCTGAAGAAGAAGAAGAAGAAGATACAAAACTCCCTATTATAGCCCCATACATCTATGATGCTAGGTACCATGCCAATCCCTAAAATTATACTAAGTACTACCGTACTTAGTGATATGAGGAAAATTCCGCGCCTTTCGTACCACTAGGTTAGCTCGTATGGGAGGTGATTCGTGCCAAAATTCGACGATGTGACGAACCCGTTTTGTTCGTCTGGAGGAGGCGTGACTCGTCGGGCGGAGGCGCGTTTGTTCCAGTGGAGAGGCGTGTCTCGTCGAGAGGAGGAGGCAAGTTTCTTCGAGTGGAGAGGCGTGTCTCGTCCAGAGGAGGCAGGTTTTTGAAGTGGAGAGGAGCGCGAAAGTGTGGAGAAGGCGGGTCTCGTTCAGCGGGAGGGGCGCGGTTTATGCGGCGCATGAATAGCTGGACACGTCGTGAGAGCCCGGATGTCAGACCTAGAGCAGCTAGTGAGTGCGACCTCTCAGCTGCAGCAGCAGCTTGAGAGCGCGGTGCGCTGTCTTGAAGGTCAGCCATACTAGCCGTGTATGAATAGCGAATCTGCCATCCTAGGGAGTTATTCTTATTAACGCCGTCCTTGCCCTTTGACCGGAGGCAGTTCTGGGAACCCGACGGTGGAGATACGCCTCTCCACACGAAGAAACTTGCCTCCTTCCTCCTCTCGACTTGACATGCCTCTCCACTTGAAAAAAAAATTGCCTCCTCTCGACGAGACATCTCGGAACTCTACTCGACAGCTCAGTCCACTCGTGCAAACGCGCCTCCGCCCGACGAGTCACGCCTACTCCAGACGAACAAAACGGGTTCGTCACATCGTCGAATTTTGGCACGAATCACCTCACATAAAGCTCGCTCCCGCTCGCCAATAAATATCTTGCATCTAAATATACTACAACGGCGACATCTGCTATACAGATAAGAAGGACTTTCAGATTCAGTTTGGACCATTCCACTTTTGCCTGGATTGGGGAGTAAGTCAGTAGTGTGCATTCGTGAGAAGTTCTTTAATTGGCTGACTACTATTAATCCCTGCAGCTGGAAAAGACAGTTCGCATTGAGAAGCAACTGCAGAGTTATTTGATTCAGATCCTCCGTAAGGATTGTGCCGATTGCTATGGATTAACACCTTCTTTCCTGAGACCAGGACTGTTTCTCTGTCACAGTAACCCCACCAAGGCCACCTACCGATCTACTCTCGTTAACCCTTTCCCCACCACAAACTCCACCAACCTGGTGGGCATTATTCAGAGTTGGGTGTCCACAGGTCCGTCCCTCGTTCTAGACGGTCTGCTGGTGAGGGTGAGTCCGGCCTGCCCCACCTCTATCTCCAGTCTCGATAAAGAAGAGTGTGATACTGGTACCACGTATGACCGGCAACTGGGGGACAGGATTACTCAGACTCTCAATTTTTGTTCAATCAAGAATCTTGGAGAGCAAGTCTGCAAGCTTGGTGGTTGCTAATAGACATGGAACACAACAGCTAGTAATCGTGACCCTATTGCTGTGGCATCTGACTAAAGTAATTCAGCGTGTTTCTTTTTTGTGTAGGTGTGTCTAGTTAGAAAATACAGTCTTCTCCATTAGTGCATTGCATGTGTTCATTAGTTTCATTAAAGTGCTAGTGAAGAGAAAGATATATGGAAAAGTCTTGTATATAGCAGAGTTTGTGGCTACACATACTTTAGCCGGTACTGTGCCAAAAGAGCGGCAGACAGAAAACAAAGACCAAGCTGCAAGTGACAAGTGGAACTGTCATTTCTTCAAAATGAAGGGGATGGGGATGGCTAAAAAAACCAAAAAGGAAGAAACAAGGGGTGTTATACAAAGCAAAGACACACAAAGCTACATGATACTTTCCCTTATTTTTTGTCCAGTGTATATATTTTCCTGTGAATCAAACGAACAAAGATTTAGGGATGGTGTCATGTAGCTTGGTGTGTGTTTGCATGACCCTAGTTCCTTTCTATCCCTATCCCTGTTCTATAACAATACAGCATTCACTTACTAACTTACTATGGTGTGTTAAATGCTCGAGTAAATACCCTAAATACTGAGCTTCAGAGGCTCTTACTCCGTGCATTTAAAAATGAGTTTTGTTATAATTAGAGAGTCGGTAGACTCTCTATATAGGGATGACACGGGTGAAATCTCACGTGATCCGCGTACAAAACGACTAAAAACTCGGTGAGAATCACTCCCTAGGCCTTCAAAACATACTAGCAATAGTCTACGGGCCCATATCTACCTATACATGTCCCCCAAGACCTCATACGCACCTTCAGTCGTCCACGCGAGAATTCGCTCATACGCGATTTCACGATTTTCGTGTCATCATCATCATCATCATATTCTTCATCTTCTTCTTCAGACCCGCTAGCTCCTTACCGGAAGCACTTGAAGCGTTGATTTTTTCACAGAACGTCTTAGAATTTGCCGGAGGTGTGCACGCATATCAAGCGATCGTTTGTTTCTTGCCGCAAGTCACTACGGTAGATCGTTGAGTTCTTCCTCGGTAGTCACTGAACAACGCCATTTGCTGCTAACTCAGCATCAGTGAGCCGCATGCGCCGAGGAGGGCGTTTCCAATGCGGCGCGCGCGCATTTTGCTCTGGTCCACGAACGAGACTAAGCCAAGACTGGATGCCTTCAGAGAAAACTACTCTCATCCTCCAGTGCCTTCTGTAAGTCAGTGTACACTTTGTAAGTGGCTAGCTTGCGTTTTGCTGTTGATTTGCACGAGGAGCAACTTGGCCATGTGCCTTGCCAGGCGCCTTCATTCTTAGTCCCCCAGGTTATAGCTATCATTGTAGTCTGATTTCTGAAGCCTGCCCAATGAAACGACCACCATAATATGTGCCACAACCTAATCGCGTCCTTGTTGGAGACACTACGCATTACACCCTGCTTCAAGTAAGAGCAGTCCATTAGCTTCTGCTTTCAACAGTTATCTTAACAACATACCCATGAACATCAGAGTGACAGTGTTGTCATAAGCCATTAAAAATAGTGGAAACAAGTGGAAAAATCATTTCTTCAAAATAAAAGGGGGATAAAGGTAGATGTTGGTATTTTGAGCCACTTAAACTTTCTTCTTAATTTTTCCTCCAAATACCGGTGAATTAAAGTGAAATTTATGTTACATGACTATCAAGACATGGCGATTCTAAAAATCAAATCGGTTTCAGATATATTCATAGTAGGTAATGCAAAATATTTGCTGTATAACCCTCTAAAAGCAGCATTATGAGTCAGTGATGGTATATGAGTCGACTTAAAACGTATTCTTTGATGAAGCAAACAGTTGCCCAGTCGTGTTTCACAATAATTACTTAGATATACAGAAAAGCAAAAAACCACAAATTAATCATAATTTGACCAAATCATTCATTTAA